TTTATTCATATACTTATGTATGAGTTAGAGGCTAATGTATTCAGAAGTTAATTATATTATTGTTCATGTAGCAGGGATCCAGAGCAACCAATAATCAAGCATACCTGGACATGCTTATTGGTTTTCTTTTTCAGAAAGTTTCAATCCATTTGGGGGAATATATTAGCTTTTTCAGGAACAAGTGAGGCTGAAGTGAACACTTTTAGGGAGGAGATGATTGGCAAAAAGAGAAGGTGGGAAAAGAGCCTTTTATGTAAATGTATGTTAAATAGAGTCTAAAAATAATTCTTATCATAATATTACAGGCAGTTCAAATATTAGAAATAAGAGCCCATGTGTAATTTTTACACATTTTTTTTTTGCAGTGAAAAGTATGTTGACACTGCTAAATTTGCATCTGATGGAGCCAGCTTTGTTAATCAATTCAGAGTGAAGAATATAGACTTGCTGCACTACTTTAATGTGGAGATTGCTGCAAACCACTTTAAGTTTGAGTCACCCACATATTCAGTGATGTGATGGATATCAAGGTTAATTTTCAATAAAACCATTAGTAGCCGTGGCACTGCTGTGTTAGTGCTAGCCATATTGAGACTTGCCTGAAGAATAACGGTGCCCTGGCTGGTGTGGTTCACTGGTTAGGGTATCGGCCCATGAACCAAAGGGTTGTGGGTTCGATTCCTGGTCAAGGGCACGTACCTAGGTTGTGAGTTTTATCCTTAGCCCTGTTTGGGGTGCGTGCATGAGGCAACCAATCGATGGGTCTCTCTCACGTCGATGTTTCTGTCTCTCTCTCTCTCTCCTCCCTTCCCACCCTCCCTTTCACTATCTCTAAGAAAAAGCAAAGGAAAAAAGTAACCTGGATTAACACAATAAAATATTAATAATATAATGGCAACACGTTCCTCCATGTTGATAAAAATGTGTGTAACTGATTAAAATGGACTGTTGCTGCACATTGAATTCACTTATATAATAAAATAAAATGTGTTTCTATAAAAATAAAAATTTTAAAATAATGCTAGATTGCAGTTCATTTTGTATAGACTTTTTTATTTAATGGTCACAGTGAGTTTTTTTGTATTGTGCTATAATTCTTCCCATCCTAGATGCTTTATGGTGATGAATGAGTATTCTTTTTCTCTTGAAAGCTCCCATTTGATAAAATTTAATATTCATCCTATTGTCAACTAGTAGTGAATGTAAATAATAATATAATGGGTTTATGTGAAAAAAGTGCTAATCCAAGGAATGAAATACTGAAAAGAGAAGTAAAAACTGGGGTGTAGGAAAGCCATTTCTAAAAAGGCATTTGGTTTGAACACAACTTTCAAATGAATCATACTTTTCTAAAGGCTCTCATATTAAAGTAAAACAATATTATTGCAATATTATTTAGTTTATATTTTCACAGACAGGCACACAGACACATCATCTATTTTCTTTCTCTAAAATGTATTGGGCACTTACTATAAGCCAGGAACGTGACTAAAGTGTTACTGTGCAATATCTCAGTTAATCCTGATAGAAACCCTATGAGATAATAGTGTTATTATCCCTATTGTTTTCCAGATAGGACACAGAAGATTTAGAGAGACTAAATAGCTTGATCAAGATCATATAGCTAGTAAATTATACAGTTGAAATTTGAACCCCGGTGTGCTTGAGTCCAGAGTTTACATTCTTAATGTCTTAATTATTCTACTTCAGTAAGTACATCATATCCTTTATTCAGAAAGATGCAATTTAAAGAAAGTAGATTTGGAAATTTTAGTCATCTGACCCAGTATGTTATATTGTTGGAATATTCTCAAGGTTACCAAAACAGAATATATGGCAATTTTCTGTCTTGATGGAAGGAGGGCTTTGAGGGCATAGAAATTTTGTAGTGTTTAATACAAAGTGATTTTTTGAAAATGAAAGCCAAGATGCTTATAGGGGTTGGTGAAGAGAACTGTGCTATGGCTGGGCATCTACTTCCTTTGCTCATCATGGAATCGTGCCTATGAGTATAGTTTAGTTTATTGCTGTGCATACAGAAGAAAAAGGAAGAGAGATTGCTTTTCAGATATATCTAGAGAAAAAGAGAGTAAAGGTAATTGCATGGTTTGGCACATGGTATCACAATTGGTTTTGCTTTGTTTTGGTGACACCTAAAGGACTGGAAAGTCATTGTAAGGAGGACAGAGTGGCTAATTGCAGGCTAGTTGCCAACTTGTAAGACTTATTGAAAAGGTTGAAATATGAGATTAAATCAAATCTTGAGTAATGGTATTTGTATGGTGACATTTATCTTGCTGAAAATATACACCTTTGAATTATTATCCTCAAGTTCTGTAACTGAGCAACTAAAACTCATCATCCCATAGTTTTGGGACGTACACCCTAAACCAAATGGCTTGTCACATTTACATGTAATTTCTTTCTTTTCTTTTTTTTTTTGAAAGCACTGTGAGGTGAAAGGACATATATGATCATGAGGTGCAAATGTCACTTTATGGATATGAGACATTAGAATATGATAACAGTTGGCCTTGATAAATTCAGACTGACATATCCAATTAACTTTTTTTTGACTGTCTTGTTATGATAACAGAAACATTTCTGTAATAAAATAAATAAATAAAAGATAGGAGTCAGACCCTGGATACTAGCTTTCCCACCAGCTCTGCCACATAACCAAGTTTACGACGTGAGATGATAAGTCAACCCTTCTGACTAAATGTCCTCAAATAGAACACGGGAGTCACGCTTGCCCTGCTTGCTTTCCATGCAGAAGGAGAGAGGAAATGAAAAATGGTCATGAAAGTCATTTGTAATGTTAAAAATATCACCACGTAATGTAAGATATTTGTAGCTTTACAATACTGCCTTTACTTGCACAAGTCTAGCAAACATCTGGATTCTTCGATCTGTTTCATATTGTCAAGTAGCATCTCTGGCTTTGAATATTTTTCTTAATTCACATGAACTACATAGTCATTAGAGAACAAAATTGCTTAAAAGGAAGAGAATAAAATTAAGTACCAGCACTCAGAGGGCACCACCACATTTTTTGGTTTAAAGAAATCTCCATGTTTAAATGTTCTTGTCCTATTTTTATCAGTGCTGGCTTTACTGAAACATTTAATACTGAATCAGCTGCAAAAATTACCAAGCAGAAAAATATTTATCAACTAGTGCTTGTTTATTAATATCCTGATGAACAAGCTTCTGATGATGCAGAACAATAATGGTCCTGCAGGCTCTGGCATTCCGGGCACACAAACCTGTATATTCTGTATTTTCTTTGCACGCAGACTAGTTCCTTTGAAATATAACTTACCTATTCTCACATGAGAGAGATAAACATATGTTTATTCTTTAGTATTCAAAAAATTTAATAGAGACATGTACAGCCTCTCTACCATTGCATTTTCACAAATTTCTGTTTTATCACTTTTACATTCAATATTATCCTGACACGCTTCTTGGGTCAGGTCTCTGTACCAAGGCGTTTTGAAACAATCAAGTACAATAGGCATATTGCAGAGTGCTTTGGAGTTTCTCAAGGTGGGGGAGGGAGAGAATTATGGAAATGTCTCAGACAGAACACAGAGTAAAGTTGGCTCCAGAATATAATAAAAGGAAAAATTGATATTATCTGTTCATTTAAATGTACATGAATGTGATATTGTCAACTTTATTCAATTGGTAAATTTGGTAATCATAGACATTTGATGGGTAGATCATCTGGAAAACATACCACTATAATACAGCTTTTACACATAAGCCTTACTCTTGATAGAAGCTATATTTCCATAAACACAAGACGCTTTGTGGCTCAGATTTTCATATTCACTCTGACTGCTTTCCTTTCCATGTTAAGCACATAGTAAGTACACAATAATTATGCAGTGGCCTTCTTTGTTGTTGGAAGGCTACACTCCCCTCTATCAATTGTATACTAAGTTTTTTTTCCTGCGATAACTAAATAACTATTTCTGTGGTCCCCTTTAGTGTGGAGGAAGATCTCCTCTCCATCATATATATATATATATATATCTTCACATGTCTCTTCCAAATAATCTGGCTGGAAGAATTCATTGCATTGCAAACAGTGAGATAGATTCCAGGGGAACAATGATAAACGATTTTAATGCACTGGATGCTTAGTAAACCTGTTTGAAAGCAAGACTATTTTAAAAGATTGATAATTTACTGGGATCACCACCATAAAGTAAAATTTGAACACTCACCAAATGTGGCTATGACATTATTCTTAGTGCTGTAAGACTAGTATTCACACACACACACACACACACACACACACACACACACACACATGAAGAACAGGTCTTTTCATGGTGCTGGGGAGTTTGACAGCTACTAGATGTTTCTTGTTAAATAAGACTTGACTACTATGGATGGGATCTATTATCTGTATTTTCTTGACATGACTACTGGGGCTTATGGTTGTTCATCCATTAGTTATCATCTGTCATATGTGAACAGACCCGTACCCTAGAAAAGTTGATTCGCGGTGTATTGGTTGCGATTTGCTTCACTGTGAAATGTGACCCTGTCACATCTGCATGCAGCCCTTGTTCCTAAAACAGGTTGATATATGTCTCTGCTCTGTTTGGAAGCATCCAAAGTCAATGTTTCCTACGAAACTATTTCTTAAAAACTGGCAGAAAGAAATAAAAACCCATTACATTCCATGCTTGTCCAAACTCAGTTGAAAAAAGGAGCCATCTCCCATTTGTTCTGAACACCTGCTGGGAGATTTAATGAGTATATTAAAAACTGAGCTGCCTTGATATTTCATTTAAAAAAAACCAAAACACCCTCTTTTCTATTTCTTGAGAATGTGTGATAAAAATCTGTTGTTTGCTTAGCCATTTTTTTTTAATTTGGCCATAGTATGAATGTAATACTTTGCTCATACGTCAACATAAACATGGGAAAGTGTGTACTTCACATATTTGGACTAATTGGCTTTGTTTTTTGTTTTCCAGCGGGGACAACATACATCTTTAGCAAAGGTGGTGGACAGATCACATATAAGTGGCCTCCGAATGACCGGCCAAGTACACGAGCAGACAGACTGGCCATAGGGTTCAGCACTGTTCAGAAGGAAGCCGTCCTGGTGCGAGTGGACAGTTCTTCTGGCCTGGGGGACTACCTAGAGCTGCACATAGTAAGTACTTTCAAAATAAGATTCAGCTTTTGTTTTTTACTGTTCGTTTTCGGTAAGTAACTTACAATTAGGTCTTTTGGAAGTTTCTGTCCCCAGAACCAGTGCTTTGATACAGAAAATATAAATACACTCTGGAGGTAATGAGACCTTGTACCAATTACTATTACTATTGTTAAAAGTGTTCTCTATAATAGAAAATATGGTGTTTTTATTTTAGGTGTGAATGCCTCTCAATTCTCTGTTCATGAATGTTTGTTTTCGGTGTGTTTTTAGTGACTTGGGGCAGACCTGACAAATTAATAAAATGAGTTATTGCCTTGTAGACACTATTCCATCTGGCTGGAGGCAGGGCGTTGTGACACTGGTGACATCCAAAGGTCTGGATCCAGTGTCCTTATTTGTTTTCTAACCTGGAAAATCTGTTGTCTGAAGTTACATGCAATGGATGGGAGAAAAGGAAACTTTAAAGATATTTGGGGCTATGAAATTAAATGCCAAAAACATTGTTTCTGTGCAGTCTTATAGTCATTTTAATACATAAGCATCAAGCACATACAATGGACTCTTGCCATTTTATCCTGGGACCATACCCTTTTCTCCAAACTCTAAGCCTCCCATAAGAATTTAGTCAGCACATAGTAGATAACAAATAATAGTTTATAAATGAGAAGCTTTCTTTACCTTTTAAAGTTGCCGTAACCAACCGTAGCTTGGGACCTCGTCCCTATATCTCTTCATTCAGTTACCAATTTGTGTGGCTCATTTCATCCCCTCATTTCCCTGCAGTCTTTGCAAAGAAACACATGCAGGCATTTGTTGTTTAGAGGTGTTAGTGTTTTACTGATATATTAAAATAAAAACCGTAAGAAGGTATCATATATGTTAACACTGTTAAGGGTTTTTATCATTAAAGCTCTTGGTCTAAAGTCTTCTGGAAGGTTCCAGCAGCATATAAATCTCTCCATTTTCTTTGATCCTTGAGGTATAGTTTATCCCTTCTGCCTCATATGATCATGTAAGTTTGTTTTGTTCTGTTTTTGTCTATCCCTATAAGTTCTCCCTTTACTAGTACCAGTGTCTGAAAGGACATCTCATTAGGTCAACATGTTTCTTCCTGTTAGGAACTGGCCTTCAGGTACCCATCCTAAAATGATTAGGAAAATCACCAAACACCAAAATATGTCATCACAGACATCTATAGGGCCTTCATTTTCAATGTTTTACTCATTTATTTACTTCTAAAATTTTTATTGATTAATTACAGTTGACTTCAATATTATCTCAGTTTCAGGTATATAGCATAGTGAGTAGACATTTATGTAACTTACCAGGTGATCACCCCAATAGTGTTTTACCCACCTGACACCATATACAGTTATTGTAATATGATGACTATATATCCTATTCTGTAATTTACATCCTCATGACTATTTTGTAACTGCCATTTTGTACTTCTTAATCCCTTCACCTTTTCACCCAGTCCCCAACACCCTCCCATCTGGCCACCATCAGTTTGTTCTCTGTATCTATGAGTTTGTTTATTTTCTTAAGCTTAGTTTTCCATTATATTTATAGAATTTCAAGTAAGCTGAGTAAGGGGTTTTCACTGACCACCATGAACTGAATTCATTGTTAATCTTGGAAACAACACTTCAGCATGACCATTATTGAACCGTCGTAAATTTTCTGCTGTAAATTTTCCATTCAAGATGCAGTTGTCAAAATGGAAACTGGGAAAGTAATTTCAGCTGCCTTTCAGCAAATATCTAACAATCAAAACTGAGAGCATCTGGATTTTTATGGCATCATAAATAAATGATCAGTCGAGATAAACTTAACTAGTGCAGTAAGGAATCTTGCTGTTTAGAGTAATCTCAACTTTCTAAATGTATTTGCTCCATTCTGATTTAAGAGCATTGCTACTTCCAAAAAATAAATAAATAAAAATGAGAACAAGAGCTTTTCCTACGGAAAGAAATTACTTATTGATCTATAACCAATTACACATTTATCCTGCGAAAAGGTTCTACAATGATCACTCTCAAATCATAAGGGGCCATGCTATTAAATTACTCAAACCACTGTTGTTTGTTTCATGGTCAAAGAGTTTTAGTCTACAAGACTGGGTATTTGGTTTCAATTCTGATCAAATGTGAGCTTAAAGTCCTTTTGTCCATAAAGGATTGACTTTCTAGGTATTCATACCAGCCTGTTAACTTCCGCAGCTCCTTTGCTGGCCTCCTTCTTTCTGAACCTCTTGCCTCAGTCTTGCCTAGCCATTCACTTTGAACTCAGTATTTGCCGCTACACACCCTTCTTCTTGAATTTGCAATCTCCAAACTCAACCTTGACCTGAGAGCATGTTCTTGATTGGGAAATAGAAAATAGATATTGGTCATCCTGGTTGGCTAGCCCTACTCAGTCCTGTATCAAGTACTAGTACCCAGTTTTAGTCCAAAGCTGGCCAACAAAAACTTTCTATCTCCCTCATTTTTCTCTCATTGCCTACAAGTGATGACTCAGCACATTAAATGGAGACAAGTTACTTATTTTCATGTTTTCAACATACCATCATAATAACACAAGGCCAGTGTTTTTCTTTTTCCTATGGAAGTTCACCTTTTTCCATAATGTTGGGTACCTAGAATAGGAAGAGAAAAAGCACTTAGATATTTAAAAGGGAGAGAGAGAGAGGTACAGAACAGAAAGAGAGAGAAAAGGAGAGACTGAGGAAGGGAGGGAGAAAGGATGAAAGGAGGAAGGGAAAGGGAAAGGGACAGGGACCAAAGCTGGTGCTTGCTGGTGGCAGAAGCAGAAATATTCTTAATAACGATACTTAGATTTGGGAATATTCAGAGGCTATTTTATAAGATTATTTAGATACCTTTGAATCTATTCTGATTTTCTCCAAATATGCTTTTTTAAAGATTGGGGATTTAAAAGGAAAACAGATTTGTAGAAGTATAGATTATTTAGTGTTGTTTTATTGTGTTTTATGAATATAACTGCCTTAAAAATTAAACTGATTGATATCATAGATGATATGTTTTAATTATAAAAGTTAGAAGTTTAAGTTATCTATTAAATTGCCAGAAAAATTTCTGTAGGTCAGCCAAGTATAAACCATGTACAGATTTTATTTAAAAATTTTATTTCTACCATCAACTAATAGAATTAACCAATAAGCTGAAAAGTTGATAGAATACATTCTAAGGTGCTCCAATCTTGCCAAAATGTGCAATGCCTTTTCAGTTATCTAACTTTTAAAATCTGATTGGCATATAAGGTCAAATGAAGATGTGAATATTTGACACTATTTATCGTCCTTTTGTTTTTTCAAAATGATGTTTGATTTTACTGGAAATATAATCATATTTAAATTTTGATTAACGATATGCTAGAAATATAATAACTTGGAATAAAAAATAATTTTTGACTCAGGTGTCCTAGTTTACACAGATTTTTTTGTTATATTAATATCGCTACTGCTACCCTCAGAGCCGTATGATACCACTCTTGAAATCTGAACGGTTTCTGAAGGAGAGTAGGAATGAGGACATGAAGTAAGAAACAATTAATTAGCATAGTGCTTAGAATACAAGTGCTCAATAAATGTTTTCTGAAATAATAAATGAAGTAATGAATTATATATTCAAAATATTATGGCTTAGGCTCAGTATAGACTCTCAATTCTTCAATAGTCAAAGTGAAGTTGCAGATGAAGTTTAATTTCTATATACCTCTGAGAAAGTCAGCTAACTTCTTGTTTATAATATAGAAAAAGTGTACCAACAGCTACAAAGTTGCGTATTTTATTGATGTTGTTTTCTGAATCTTTACCAAAGAAAAAATTGTGGTAATTGATTATCTAAAGAAAGTGTATGGTGAGAAAATTTTTTTGGATGAATAATTATCTTGCTTTAATAATCATTTTATTTATTGTAACTCACTTTTATCATCAATTGTTCTCGACTCATTTTATATCTGTCCATATTTCAAATAGAAATAAGCTTTCTGATGGCACAGGACATAATTTATAGTAATAATGATTAATAAGAAAAATAATATCATATAGAAATGTGGTGTTTCATTATTTAAATATATGCTGGAAGGCTGTCCAGAAATATTTTCTAAGCAACTAATGTGGCCCAAGTCTGTTAGGCCCTATGAATGCAAAAATAAACCAGCTAACTACTTAGTACTTATTTCAATAAATATCTGTTGGAAGAATGAATGGACAAGGCAGCTGGGATCCTGGTCACCAGGTAGCTTAGATAATGTATAGTAAATATACTTTGTCCCAAATGACTAGTTTTTCTTGATTATCCTCCATCGGGGTACAGCTGCATTTCTCCCTCTTGCTGTCTTAACTTTCTTATCTGCATAGTATTTGTAAAAACAGAGACAAATGATAGGTTTTTAAGATAAAGAATAGAAAGAGATTTAAATACATTTAAGTGTTATATACATTTAAATTAGTAATGCTGAGGATTATTAATCAATACCGAATAAAGTGATTTCTTAGAATCAGTCAACAAATCATTAAATTCATTTTTAAAATATTTTCTTAGCTCTATGTTGTTGTCACTCTAGAGAAAACAGCTATATTGCAGTCTGGTCATCTTAAGTGGAGGTTACTGCACCCCTCTCTGATTTGCGGAAGAAAGCCACTGCCAATGTGTGCTCACTCACTGCCGGAATATTAACATGGGTCTTGGTTCTGACCAGAGGAAATGTGTGGAGGTTGGAGGAGAGGATGAGTAAAAAGTGTTTTTTGAAATTCTTTCATCTTGAGAGCATGAAAGAGCATTGCAAATTGGATTAGTGAATTGTTATACATATTTGCCTTAAGTGTTTCTTCTTTGTACTTTGCTGAGCCGGAAGCCTTACTTTTACAACAAGCTCTTAATTGATTTTGATTTAGAAATACACCTTTTGATCAGTAGGTTTAGTTTAGACTAGAAGCATAGTGTATTTATAGTGAATATTATATAATGTCC